TTGCATGGATGAAGTTATGGGAGTGGCCCCTAAAGAATACCTCTCCCTGCTAGGACCCAAAGACCATACCACTTGGCGAGAGCTCATGACGGATCTAGTCAACCTAGAGGCCAAGGACCTCGCCAGGCGTACAAAGGCACCCGCTGCAGGTAGAAAATCACAACGCAAGCGGTATGGAAGCAGCAACCAGCTTGCTTGAACATCGGGAGGCTGAAGATCAGTCCTACGCGGATGATCTGTCTCCAGATGACGATCTAGAGCCGGACTCTGATATGGGCTGTTCTGCATCAGCCACCGAGTCTGACGTGAATGAAGAAGAAAACTTTAATGCATGCAAAAAGACTGCTTCAAACAAGGGGCCTAACCATGGTTCGGGAAGGGGAACTATTGCACACCTCCCCAAGAATGCGAAGATCCCTGAGAAACTGGAGGACGCTTCTACCAAGCCTTGGGAAGCCCTCCGCATCAGTCAAAAAGAATGGGAAAGAAGGTCCAAACTGCGCATGTGCCTGCATTGCCAAAAGCTTGGGCACGCCGTGAAGGACTGTTATCGTCTGCAGGGAAACAAGCAAAGGGCGTAGAAGAGTCGCCAACACTCTACAACAAGGGAAGCTGAACCACCAGTTGCAGGCCCCTCCAATGAGCTTGAATCTGATCAACATCCTACTCTTGAAGCTCGGAACGACGCTGAATCCAAGGCTGCTGCAGTTCAAGTATTGTACACTGAGCCTTGGGAGGAGTCTAAGGAAGTTGACTTCCACGCTCACCTGGAACATTGGTTGCAGCTCAAGCAGCAACGTCGTGTTCAAGGGAGTGTGGAGCTAACCTTCTTTAAGCTGCTCATTAACCGCCGATATATCCGTGTGCTGATTGATAGTGGTTCAACGACCAATTTCTTTTCTCCTAACGGGATTCGTGAGGCGGGCCTGGGAATGAAACAAGTGGAATTGCAGAACCCTTGTCAGACCCAGGTGGGCAACCAAGAGGTTGTCACCTCAACACATTTTGTCAAAGGTGTGCACGTCACTTTTGATAAGGATCGCACTGTCACACATGAGCTGAACTTTTATATCATGGACAAGTGTTCGTTCGACGCGGTCATTGGTTTGGGTTGGTTAAAGGCTCATTGTCTAAGGACCACGTGGGTGGATAATCAGTTCGTGGTGCGTGATGCCAAGGGGAACGAGCGTACCATTCTATTGGACGAGACGCGCGAGTCCCCTGTGACTCTTTTAAGTGCAAACAAATTCTGCAAATCAGTGCGCAGGCGCAAGGAAGCTGAGCATGTACATATAACTCTTGTGAAGCCTCTCCATGTGCCTTCTACTTTTGCTGCATTTTCTACCTCTGAAGGTAATTCTACTTCTACTACCTCTACTTCTATTCCATCTACTTCTATTGTAGAAGGTCAGTCTACTTCTGATCCAAGTACTTCAAATCCGGTTGTAATTGATGTAAGTTCTCGATCCGATTTTCTCTCTCCTGATGAGGATGATCCCCCACCAGAAGTCCCAACAAACATTCGCCGTCTATTAGATCGATTCCCTGAAGTTCTGGCCGAACCTCGTGGAGTTCCCGAGCGTTCGGTCAAACACAAGATCGAGATAATAGAAGGGAGTGTTCCTCCAAAGGGCTGCGTCTACCATATGGGACAAGGCGAGTTGGAGGAGTTGAGGAGACAAATTGATGACATGATCCATCGTGGATGGATTAGGCCAGTCTGAGTTCGGTGCACCTGTCTTGTTTGTACCAAAGAAAGGAGGCAAACTCCGGATGTGTATTGACTATCGTGGCCTCAATCGGATCACCAGAAAGAATGTTTTATCCTTTGTCTCGCATAGATGATCTGCTAGATGCGGCAGGTGGGTGCAAGATCTTCTCCAAGATCGACCTCAAGTCTGGCTATCACCAGATTGAAGTTGATCTGAGTGACCAGCACAAAATTGCATTCAAGACACGCGATGGGCTGTACGAATTCATCGTTATGCCCTTCGGTCTTACGAATGCACCAGCCACGAAGGGACCTCGCTCATGGACAAGGTTCTCTGCCATCAACTTAACAGGTTTGTTGTTGTTTATCTCGATGACATCCTGATTTTCAGCAAGTCCATGGAAGAGCACGTCAAGCACCTTGAGGAGGTTTTGCAGGTCCTCAAGGAGGCACAACTGCACCCCAACTTGGAGAAATCTGAGTTTGGTAGGGACAGCGTCATCTATCTTGGGCACCGGTTGTCTACAAATGGCCTTGAGCCGGAGGCAACCAAGGTTGAGGTCGTCCGAAAGTGGCCTCAACCAGCGAACGTACGCGAACTGCGTTCTTTTCTTGGTTTGGCCTTATATTATCGGAAGTTTGTGCGCAAATTTTCTGTCATTGCTCACCCACTCTCGAGACTCACAAGTAAGAATGTTGCCTATGCGTGGTGTGAGAAATGTGAGACTGCGTTCCAAGCCTTGAAAGAGGCGTTGGTGAGTCATCCTGTGCTCCGCATTGCGGATCCCAACCTCACGTTCGTGGTTACTACGAATGCGAGCCAGTTTGGGATTGGTGCAGTGCTGCAACAAGATGATGGCGATGGCCTGCGTCCGTTCGAATATTACAGCAAACACATGCCCAACCACAAGGTAGCTACCTCCACATACATGCGTGAGCTCTACGCCCTGCGCGAGGCGCTCACACATTGGAAGCACTACCTCTTGGGTCGTCACTTCAAGGTCTACTCAAATCATCAAACCTTGCAGTGGATTAAGACACAAACTGACCTCTGCCCGATGCTGACCCGCTGGTTGCATGACATTGATGTGTACAATTTTGAATTGAAGCATAAGAAAGGCTGTTATAATCGTATTGCTGATGCTTTGTGGCGTCACCCAGAGTTTTTGACTTGGCTTGTGGGTTCGTATGACCTCCGAAGGCTACTGAAGGAGGATCTGGTCGAACACACCGCCAAGGATCCGGACCTTAGTCCCATCCTTGAGCAGCTCAAGGCTGACCCTAGCAGTCAGCCTGATTTTCATGAATGCGAGTGTCTTGTATTCCGTCGGTATGGGAAGTTTGATCATTTGTGTGTACCCAACCATGCGCCTCTTCGGACTCATTTCTTGGATTTGGCACATGGTCGGAGTGGACACTTCGGCTTTGAGAAGACTTATGGAAGCCTTTTGCAACAGTTTGATTGGCCGGGAATGAAGGTATCTGCTCAGAAATTTATTGCTGAATGTCAAGTCTGTCAAAGAACCAAGGTCCATAGGCATAAGCCGTATGGCCTGCTGAAACCCCTCCCAATTCCTCATGGGCCCGGTGAGTTGGTCTCTATCGATTTCACGGACATGGGGAAGGTGAGCGAGGGAGGACATTCGCAAGTCATGGTCATTGTGGATCGTTTTTCCAAGTTTTTTGAATTTGATTCCTCTACCTCCTCATGCACCAACTGAGCTAGTGATTGAAGAATTTCACCAGCCATACATTCTGCAGTATGGACCCCCGAAAACCCTTGTGAGTGATCGGGACACCAGGTTCATTAGCGCAGATTGGAAGGACTTCACTTCACAGATCTATGACATTAAACTGAACAAGACTTTTGGTCGACACCCCGAAGCCAATGGACTGGCCGAGGAAATCAACCAGACTGTTATTCAACTATTGCACGCATTAATTGTTATAGATCAGAACACATGGGACAAGGAGTTATACAAAGTGAAGGGGTTGTACAACTCCTCCATTCACTCCGCAACTGGCGTGACACCAAATCAGCTACAATATGGTTGGCAGTTGCGCAATCCTCTCTCCTATCTGTTCCCCGAACGGTCACCTGGTCTGACGCCCGGCACGCCTGGCTATAATGCCAAGTATGCACGCTTGCTCAAAGCTGCTATCACAGCAATGAACAAGCGTCAGCATGCCATGATCAAATATGCTAACAAGTCGCGCAAAGAATTGAACTTCAAAGTAGGGGATTATGTCTGGGTCAAAATGTCTGAGTTTTCTGATGAAGAGGGCGTATCACGAAAGCTTCTTCCATTGTACTATGGCCCTTGGCAGGTTCTGAAGGTGATTGGGGATGATTTTGGTCCTTCGTATGTGATTGACGTGCCTCCTCATCTGCGCACGTATCCGGTCTTTCATGCATCCAAACTGTTTCCGCACATCGATGATGAAATGTTTCCCTTCCGAGATCCTATGATACCTCGTCCTATCGACGGCGGCCATGAGATAGACAGAATCGTTTCCCATGAAGGTAGAGGGAGGAACAGAGTATAAGGTTCACTTCCTCTATCACCCGTTGAACGAGTTTTCTGGATCGACCGGAAAGAGCTGCTAAAGAATGCTCCACGTGTTGTGAACGCTAATGAACGACAGATCGCTGATGGACAGACTGCTAAGTTTTCTGCAAGACTCACTCCCTACGGTCTTACTAAATCTCTCTTTTTGATCTACGCCTACGATGCATTTTATGCCGACTCTGAATGAGTTACTCGCTCGAAGGGACCTCGCTCTTGAGAGGGGGGTAGTGTAATGACCCGCCAAAAACACAGACTGAGAACACTGCTGATTTCTGGGATTTGCCACTGGAATGAATGCCTTGCTGAARTTCCCGCATTCTGCTGTGATTTCCATGTCTGTGTGTGTGTGCGTGCCTGCTGGTTTGCATGCCTGTCTGAGTGCTTGTCGGCTGAGTGTGTGTGTGACCCGCAAGGGTACTTGTTGGTTGAAAGGCCCCGCAGGGCCGGTACATACCTGTGGCCGTGACTGTGAAGGGTTGCAGGGGGGAAAACACTCGAGTAGCGGGGGTAGGCCCGCAGCACTTAGAGCAGAGGGGAAAAACGCTCAAGTAGAAGGTAGGCCGGTACCACTGAAGTAGTGGTAGAAGTGTCGGATACTGGAGGCCGAGCAGAAGAAGACAAAAAGTTGGCATTTTTAGAGGCCCAGTAGCGGTAGGCTAGAGGTAGGCCGGTACCAGTCCAAGTAGCCCGGGTCTAGGGCCTGTCCGGAGGTTAGCAGAGCCTGCAATGATGTTTCCCTCCGAAAGGGAGGAGGTACCGGTTGCTGGGAGGCCGCTCGGCCTAGGAAGTCACCGCCCAGGAGGCCAGTAGGCCGCTATATCTTTCGGAGGAGCAAGTAGCTCCTCCGAATTTGCGGTATGCAAGGATTGGCGACATGCTGCTGGAGCGCAGCGCTGGCTGATACAGCGCTGCTTGGAGGTGAAGGGCAGCTGGAGCTCAGCCTGGCTATGGCAAGCAGTCCAGCTTGAGGAGGAGGAAGAAGGGGGCGAAGGAGGAGTGGCGAGGCACTTACCTGGCTATGGTAGACACCATCTTCATCACCTTGTTGGGCGCTGCATCTGGAAGGCCCCAGTTGGGGTAGTGCTGCACCAAGGAAGCTCGAGGCAGAGCTTGGCATGGCGGACTAGTCAGTAGCAGCAGCATAGGTGCTTTGGGTTGTCCTTTGCACAGGAGGGCAGGCCCCTCAGTAGTCCGCCATAGCCTATGCATGTGTGAAGAGGCAGAAGGAGGGAAGCCATAGCTATGGTGGACTTGTTGTTATTGTTGTTGATTGAGTCAGCAGTAAGAGGGAACTTCGGATATTGATTCTGGTTCATCCATTCATTGTTATTATTATTATTGAGAGAAGAATAAGATTGGCGAAGTGAAGGAGGAGGAGGAAGGTGGAGAGAGAAGGGGGAATTGTCATTGGTCTTGCTGGTGTACATCTTCTTCTTCTTCTTCTTCTTCTTCTACTTTCTCTCTCTCCTCCGATCTCTATCTCTTTGCAAGTGCTTTCATTTCGTTCGCAATTGTGAAATCAGTCTTGCAAATTCACACTCAAACATGCATGCAACAGATGAGAATAACTTGGCGCTGTGCACCCAACTCAAACTCGGAGATATGGTAGCTTGCAACTC